TGTTATTGGGGAGATGGACACTTCTGGTTATGTACTTCTGTCGCTATCACACTTTGGCTCTTTTGTTTTTTATTGTCTCTACGCGACTATTACGATCWATTACACTCTAATTATTACACTTTGTTTCACGGGTTTGTGAAAACCACTCTAAGGTTATATTTAAAAGATATTTAGAATAAATGAGGCTACAAAGGCTACAAGCTATCAAAGGGCGTCAAGGKTGTCTATAGGGGTGTTGATTCAGGAAGGAGGTGCATTAATGTTGCCGCGMTATAWGTTGCGTGAAAACATCCCAAGAGGTTAGATGGAAAATACAGATTATCTTTACCATCGAAACAAATAATTTACCTTGTAATCTCATTTATATGTTGTCAAACTTGGTTCTTATCGGAAAGCTAATAAAATATTTGTAATCATAGAATGGGCAAGGTGAAAGGTGAAAGTTACTTTCTTGTCTGTGATGAATTTTCAGCTCATTTCGCGAAAACCCCATAGACAAAGAAAATGACTTAATAACTTGAAACGAAATGTAAAAAAGGTGAATCTTATTTCTAAGGGTTTTTTTTTGTATGCTAAGTATGTGGCTCCCTGTAAATACAGTTCTTACGTGGGCGACATGTGACCGCTGATGAAAGCTGACTCTTTGCTCCAGACGAATTTTTGATGATTGTTGATTGGTTGAAACAGGGACCTCGTACTATATCATGTCCGCTATAACAATCCCCAAAATCTATTTTGTGTTGAGTTTGCTAAAACGTTTGTTCAGATTCTGAAAAGAAAACAGATTTTTTGGATTCAGATTTCRAGGGCGTARAATATGTGATGACTACATCCGCTATCGTGCTGTACATTGGCAATTCAGTGGAATTCTCCAGACTCTTTGCTGTGCCGAGCTCGGCGATCGACCTCGACATCGGAAATTGCACTGCAMGACTTGGCAATAKTGGGACTCCCAAAGCCTAACGAGAATCCATATGTAAAACACATCACATGAAAGATGACAACGAAAATCTGGTATTAATGATCAAAACAATAGTTTTAATATTTCACTAGTGACACGGCACTTCATTTCCCGCCCCTTCTAAACAACCTTTCTATACGTAAAGTAATAGGAAACTCTACAAAAAATCGCCCCAGGCTCCAGAGTTAATGCAGGCACAGACTAGACTTGGAGATCGAAATAAACATCTGGATTTAAAACTTTGAATTAGCTATTTAATGCTTGAAACACCCTGTGAGCGCACGATGATAGAGTCATGTTTGGAGAACGGGTTTTTGACTTGACTTTGAAAGAGAATAACATTTTGGGTGTCAGTTGATTGAGAGAAACCCAACACTGTGTTCTTCCTGGGGTTTGTAAGCAGCGGTAGCCAGTCAAGCCACAGAATTTCTGACCCAATCAAAGGCTGTTGTGATTAGCTCTGAAAACAACTTTGGGCTAGAAGGAAAATAATGAGTCTCTGGTTCGTCGCTTCTTTGATTGCCACATTTTTGGTGAAAAGTAAGTCAGTTTGAGATATCTTTTAAAAATTGCTATATAGYATTTTTACTATATTTATCGTTGAATAAAAGGGTGGTTTAAAACATACAACGATCATCCTTGATAAGTTTCTGATCAAACTAACAAGAACAAAGTCACTTGAATATTCGCACTTTAGTTAAGATCAGTCAAGTTGCAAAATCTTTGCTAAATAATGCACTGAATTTTGCATTGAATTTCTTTCTCTAGAATGTAAAAAGAATGTTTTATACGATGCTTTTAGAGATTCGTGAGTTCGGGAATGACTGCATTACATAACCCTCTGCCATGACAATATGACAGTTTTTTCCCTATAAATGAATTATAGTGAATATAGTGAAGTATTTTACAGTTTTACTGATAAAATTAATTCAAATTAAAGGTAGGCTGGCTTTTACACTATGAATGTAACTGAAGCTAATAGAGATGAGTTTATGCTTCAAGCTGACTTGACGCCTTTTTTCATACAAATTACAGTCATATTATTAATGTACGTAGAGAGCTAGCAAGCCGGGAGGTTCAAGTGGTTATCCACTACTGAGAGACTGCCACTTTGATATGGTTGATAATTGAAATCATAAGAGAAAGACATCCATTTTTTACTAGCATCAATTCATAATAACAAATATAGCATTAATGCTTTATACATAGGAGAATAACGAAAAGCTCAAAAAGAAAATAAATCGATAAATGCAGTCGGTTGTAATAATTACGATAAACCTCTGACAGTGTCACCTCAGGTACACCTATTAATCATGATCTTAGAATGCCTGAATCATTTGKTTTTGCCAAGCATTTTTGTTTAATGATTCATAGAAAAGAGCTATAATGAAAAAATTACATCAAAAACGGYCTTGGTGGTACTGATAAATATGACCTGAGAGATAAACTGATATAAATGACCTGGAAGCCACTTGGCAGGCGCCCTCGTTCAAATTGACTCTTACAATTGGCGCGTGTTCAGACCTATAAYAGTGTTGCAGAATATGCCAAACGCAGAAATGGAGGCACACTTCACTGACAAWATKTTTAGTGGCGAAAAATGTCCAGGTGTTTGCTGTTCCTCGAGTCTTGTTGCAAACAAGTTTTTACTGGATTCTCTTATTGCAACAAAGGTACAGATTTCTAAAAAAAGGATCRATTAAAGCTTGAATAATTCTACCATAAATCTTTCATTGGTAATATTTTGAACTCTAACGGGGGCGCTCTCATATGATTGCACGACCATTGGCAGATACTGAAGTCTTCCATGACGTCATTATCGCTATCAATGGTAAGATTGAAGSTCCATAACTCAAAGACGTAATATTGAAATGATGGGGTAGTTCACCATTCGATTATTTACGTTATATAAAATCAGCTCACAGAGAATCAGAAATTATTGTATCAAGGCGTCATAGGCACTATACACGAATATCACACTAGTGTGAATTTTAGAACACTCCATTTAACGAAAAAATCCAGAATCGAGTTTATCACATCAATGATGATAAAAATCATGACAAGTTTCAATAGAACTTTGATTGGCGAAGATATAAATGTCAAAACAATGCATTATAAACGACAATCGATCCTAGCGAGACTCGTTTTCATGATAAACAAAATACATAACTTCAAAAATTTATATCTTTGTCAATTTACATCATTAATGATGAGACCAATTCGATACTGGATGTTGTTTTCGTTTTTATCATGTCAAAATGTCATTTTACMGTAGMAATTATCACATATTACATAAAACAACATTCCAACAACTGCAAATCCATGCTTCGAAACGCTTATTCAACGATATCTAGCTGCTATATATTGATCCGACGTTTTTAGCAATGCACAGAAACGAGCATGCGCAGTTATGTTACTTTCTTTCCCAATCTCGTACCTAGCGCCCCTGACCCTCTTACTGCGCAATCTCGACGAAAAACAGTATTGACAYGAGCGTCTGTTGCAGGTGAGGCCCTTCAATGTTATCATTGTACTAGCACAAAATCATGGGAAGACTGCTTTAAAATACTGAGGAACGAGACATGCGCAAGAGGCATGGAGAGATGTATTACATCAGAAGCCAAAGTCAAGGTCGATAACCGAACAGACACGAGCTATATGCGTGCGTGTGCAAAAAATTGCGACGTAGAATCCAACCCCATTTGTCAAATACCTGGAATTACTTGCAAAATAGAATGTTGTGTTGGTGATTTATGTAATAATGGAAAAAAGGACAAAGAACCGTCTGCCCAAAAAGTCAATGGTAGTACCTGTACTGAACAACACAATGTTTCCTTGTGTACTTTTGTACTTAGTTTAGTTTGGTTACTTTTCAATTAAAGATCCCATTGTGACGATGAATGTATTTTTACATCGATTTTAATACTAGTCTCGCATCGTGTACTATAATGCAAGTTACATCCAGCGCACAACTCGAATGATTGAAAAGGTCTAATAGATGAAACATGTATCATTGAGAGTCTTGGTCTTTTAGTGTGTCAAAAGGGATAATTTAAAAACAAAAACAYGTTCACATGTAGCATGAAGTTTACAAACTCTTTATTGATCAAATTTAAGAAAATTTCTAGACAACTCGAAGCTTACCGAAATATTTTTCGTGCTAACGTCGCGGCGCACCAAATAGTTTTTTTTTTTTTGAGGGGGTGGAGGGACCTATTGCTTTYGGTTCAACACAAATCGATGTTTAAATACGACTGTGGAACAACGTATGAAGCGGGCTTAACCCAACACTATTTAATAGTACTGACACTTATTCACAGGTTTTAGCATTATGAAAWTATTACTCCTTCGAAAATGTTTTTATGACACAGAAAACAGAAAAGTAGACGATCGTAGACCATACGCTACTGTGATATGTAGTTGTTTTAGAGCGGATTTCGTATGAGTGGGACACCGTTACCGCACGGTTACCGCACAGTTACCGGACCTGGCCTGCACAATTTTGGTGAACCAATGGGGCACTAGAATTTGGTTACAGTTTGATTACGGTCACAGTACAGTACCGTCCTTTTCCCACTCATACGAAATCCGCTCTAAGCTTTCGCTGGACACCAGCATCATCAGGAGTGAATATTTACAGGTGATTAATGTACATATAAAGCTACGTTCTAAGCTACTGGAGCAAAATAAACAGACTAGAACAATACATCTCTCAGTTCTAAACATTCGTCGCGTGAAGTAATTTGGGGTGTCCTCATTCGCAAAAGGAAAACCCAAATCAATTCATGCGACGAATGTTTAGAACTGAGAGATTTATTGTTCTAGTCTGTTTTTGTTGTTGTTGTTGTTGTTGCTATTTATATCTCATGTACAACCTCCACGCTCCAGTGGCTTAGAACGTAGCTTTATATGTACATTAACCACCTGTAAATATTCACCCCTGATGATGCTGGTGTCCAGCGAAAGCTTGAGCGAAATTAAAATAACTATCACAGTAGCGTATGGTCTACTTCTATGTTTACTCACACAAAACATGCTACTGAAGGACAACTTCACTAGACACAGAAAACAATAGAATAAACAAAAGAAAATTTAGTACTGTTTGTAAGCTGGGCTATCTCATTTCACAGGAAAATGGTTTTGTTCAATCCATGAAAAATACGCTAAATCACAAAAAATAACGAGTGGAAGAGTAAGATCGTTCAAATGAATTTCCAGCCGATGATAAACGTATTACGAAATCCACAAATAGCAAGTATNGAATTTATATGATACACTTATGTTTACATAGAGTGATGCAATCGGTTGCATCACTCACGCTTATATGTCAAAACTATGTGATAATGCATGCGAGACTAAACAAGTACTGTTTGTAAGCTGGGCTATCTCATTTCACAGGAAAATGGTTTTGTTCAATCCATGAAAAATACGCTAAATCACAAAAAATAACGAGTGGAAGAGTAAGATCGTTCAAATGAATTTCCAGCCGATGATAAACGTATTACGAAATCCACAAATAGCAAGTATCAACAGTGAAAGTTTACAGGAAAGTGAGTGAGCGGGTGAGTGTACAGATCGTCAATCTAACGCAATCTTCTAGTTAAAAACTATACCCAAGGCAGTCCATGTCTCTTCCATATTGAAAACAACTAATCGACAACAAGCAAAAGATGCCATGCTAAATTATGAATAAACTTTTGGATCTTATCCAAAGCGATTTAGTGGATAGAATTACGTGGACATTCTTATAGGGTCACAGAACGACATCCTGTCTGTGGAAATGCAAAGGACATCGTCATGAAGATTTTTATTGTGTTCTCTGTTTTTGCGTTGCTACGAGGAGGTGGGTAGATTTAAGTCCAGTAGCTATGTCTCCACGGATATCAGAAGTGCGTTGGGGTTATAAATTGTTTCTCAGTGTCGGTTGTCCCATCCTCTACAACCAAGCAGTCATCTTCTGACGCTCGTTCCTCACTMACTTACTTCTGRCCGTCATCAATTKAATCGAAAGCAATACAGAAACCGTCACGAAAATTTAAGGTTCACAATGGCTTTTTGCATTCACTTCTAACATAACCTCACAGCTAGTACGTTAATATAGAACAGGCGACRAGGGTGAGAGAATGAGCCATGCTAACACTAGCTATTACGAAGATTTAGATTTTGAATATAGGCCAAAAACCGAATAGTCAATAGTCGTTAGCGAATGATATTTTGACGGAGAGAGTATGATGGTCATTGGATGGTTAGGTTTAGGGAAAATACACGGCAATGCATGGCGCTGGTTCGAATCCTAATGCTCTTCCTTAAATTTTTTTTTCAGTTTAGATTTTTATTTGAAAATTTTCTAATTTCTTCTTCACATAACGTGTACTGGAGAAGCCTTCTGTACAAAGGCAGTGATCCTTTTTATGCACATCAGTAGAATAACAGATCACAGATAACCCAGGGTAATNCGGAGAGAGTATGATGGTCAGGAGGAGCCGACGAGGTCTGTTCTTCAAAATAACTGTTCTTGTACATTTATTTCCTGGGAAAGGGATTTTGAACTAGAATTTTGACAAGCAACTGTTGTGACCTTTCAGACTGGGAAAAACTCTCCCTTCGGGTCGCTAAAGCACTCGAGTATTTAAAAGATATTCACGCCGATTTTCCTTCCTGTAATGGACGTAATGGGTTTCCTGGGAAAAATTCTTTGAACCTATTTCTCTCCTGGAATAAAAAAATGTAATATAATTTTGCTGTCAACCAGTTGTGACTTACAGCTGGCTGGGACATAAGAACAGATATATTTTTCCCAGGAAACCGTCGACTCCTCTTGGATGGTTAGGTTTAGGGAAAATACACGGCAATGCATGGCGCTGGTTCGAATCCTAATGCTCTTCCTTAAATTTTTTTTTCAGTTTAGATTTTTATTTGAAAATTTTCTAATTTCTTCTTCACATAACGTGTACTGGAGAAGCCTTCTGTACAAAGGCAGTGATCCTTTTTATGCACATCAGTAGAATAACAGATCACAGATAACCCAGGGTAATTAAATTTGTGTTTCGAATAAATTTATATATGAAATGATTTCTTAATGAAATACTTATCCATTACCCTGGTAACTCATGTAAACATTTCCACGCAAATATAATTATCACAATTTGTACTGCAGTCACTGTGCACGGACTTCAAAAAGCTGGAACAATTTAGCACTATTAATTACTAAAGTTGTCTGAAGTCTATTTATTTTGATTTCATGTTCCAAATGCCTTTTTCTCTCAAATCTTTTTTGATTCTTCAGTTTCACTTGTTCACCTTCAACTCTTTTCAGAAATCAGCCAATCACTTGGAAAGTAACGATTGACGCCATCAATGTATAGCGACGCATCAGCGAGCATGATGGTAGTTGTAGTCCTCGTCCTTTTTCTAATTTATAATCGGTTGTCCGTTTACAGGAAAACTGACTCATGATGCAAATCAAGAGAAACAGGAAAGATTGATTCGCGATGAAAATGCATGACATATATAACTTGTCTTCATTACCCGTATTTATTGTAAAAATATATTTTAGTTAATCTAACCGCATAGTAATCCACGCTATATCAGACAATAGTATTTCTCATTCAATCATCTATTGATTATTCCCAGCAGTTTATGGTTGTGCACCTGCCTCATATAGCWTACGAGACAGTAAGTTGCATGAAATTCATCATCGCTTTTGATATCATTTTATGGACTTTATGGTTAAGGTATTTTCTGGAGGAAAGATAACTTTCCATATTGTTCTATATATTTTAGAGGGAACTTGTTTAGGAGCAAAACGATTCAGGCCGATCTGCCCGAACAATCCTAACAACAAATACCGAGATGAGTTTAGAACTTGGTTTTTTCAGAAGTACTGGCCATACTGGAACACCGGACGAGAAGARAATCGCACACGGTAATGACACACAAAAAGTATAAAAATGATTTATGCATGTAGAGCTATATAATTACGAGATTTGGATAATAATAATAACGGAGAGCTCGTATCCAAATATACATAGCCTTCCGATTTGAATTTGTGTTGTGTGAATTTGTGTTGTGTGAATTTGTGTTGTGTGAATTTGTGTTGTGTGT